TCGAGTAATCCTTTAATCTCCTCTTGCAGCCATTCATCCGCGCCTGGGTTGACCTAATGCTGCTTCCCTCACAACTCCCCTACTCAGCTCCTTCTGACTAGCCAGCAGCAATTAGCAAACACCTCTGCTGGTAAAAACTTTGTCAAAGGGTTAATAGGGGAGCGATGTTGTGATGACTTCCCAAAGGCGGAGTTTCAGAAAGAGCAGGAGTTTCTTGAAGAGATAGAGGCCCAATTTCAAGGCGTTAAATCAGGAAGTGAAATTTCTTTGATAAATACAGCAGTTCTATAGGTAACATAGTTACTTGATTGTACTATAAAATCGCATGATGTGCCTGGAAAGCACATAATAAGGTCTCTGTATGGATTGTTTAATTTTACGTTGGTGTTATTTTTCATTCACTCAGATGATTTGTTACGTCTCATCCCTCTGGAGCATCAGCCTCGGTAGATTCATGAATCAACAGGTGTCCCACTATCGAGACAAAAGTCTTATTACTTATTCATTCAGTTTGTTTCCTCATCTCCTCGTTCTGGTTTCCTCTCAGTGTGTTAGAAATGACCAGCCTCAGGGTGCCTGGCTTTATTAACGTTAAATTCACATTCCTTTTGTTGGTCAACAAATTGGTAAATGTAACTCATTTCCTAAGCCATAAATTTTGTTTATGCAAGGCCTTTCAAAATTGATGCAGACAAATAAAAATCCTAAAGTGGACTTCAGCTCGGCCTTCAACGCCGTCAGGTCAGACGTCCTGCAACTAGCTCACAATGCCATCCTTCTTTGTCGGGACGAGCGCCAATCACCACCGGCATCCCCCAGGGTCATGTTCCCGCCACACTCGTTTTCTCTCTGTATATAAATGACTGTTCACACCTGGCAGCACTGTCATTGGTCTGATCCACTAAGGTGATGAGTCTGTACAAAGACGGTCTTCTACCAGACTGTTTCTCTGATGAACACTCACCAGTCAAAATTACTATTAGTCACCGACGATTATTCTGCTGGGTATCAACACTACGCATGTTTCCACTAATTAAACCTTGTCTTCTTCTTTAATAACACTGTAAGTACCAAATTTACATTTTTAAAAAAATCCATTCTCCCCACCAAATGTGTGTGTGTGTGTGTATATATATATATATATATATATTTAAAATATCTACATTGAGAGCAAAGTAAAACCGAAACAAATTCCTTGTTTGTGTGTACAAACTTGGCCAATAAAGACCTAAGTTCCAGAAGAAGAGGGCTGGAAAAACAAAGGAAGAACAAATCAATGAGGTCCAATACAGAAACCCACTGCCAGGCCTAGACATCACCATAGAAATAAAACAAACCGGCAAAAACACAATCAAGCCCTTCACAGCACAGCCTATTGTACAGTTTGCAACAAACACTTTTATGAGTTTTTCCCTCTTTTTCTTCTGGCTTCCTGCTTGAAAGAGAAGATTTCTTTTCTCATCTTTGCCGACAGCAAAAACCCAGTGGAGGTCCATCAAAGATCGTTTCATGTTCAGACACAAACGCCTGGCTTTTCACTCTGAAGATGGATTCTGACTGCATTCAGGGGAATCTGGCGTTTATTAATAGATGGGGTTAATTTATATTAAAATGACTTTATATGTTAAAATATAGATACACATGACGAAAAAATTCTCACATTTGCTTTTAGTGGTGTTACTGTTGGTTTAAGTTGGGGCTTTCATACCGAGGCGAAGTGGAGATATTTCTGTTACCCAAACTGGAGGGTTTTGAAAAAGTGGGGTTTTTGTACAGTTCTCTCGGCATCATTAGAGACACCTGTGTTTAATTAAATGCCAGTAAATATCAAGAACGCTTTATGTTCGTTTTTCAACTCGGAGGGAGTTACAGTAAGGAATGTTGTAGTTTTCTGGCTTACTTTAAAAACCGTCTAAAAACAAAGAGTTCCTAAATCAAACCTGTGATGGGCTTTCCATGCCCCTGAAATTCCTGGTTTGGTGTGTTTGAATGTTTAAAAAAAAACAACTGAATTTATACAGCCTCATTTAATTTCCAAACCTGAAACAAATGTCTTGATTGAATAAAATTAGTTTTAAACATAAATCTGCCAAGGAATTAATCGTTTTCATCTTATGAAGAATTTCCTGTCACAAAAACAGGCCTTGATGGTGTTATGACCGTTCCCTGCATAGATCCACACCCAGTTTGTCGAGCCGTTGTATCGTTAAAGAACTTTATAGCCAGTGTGAGGGAATGCTCACCAGAACTGCTGCGTTGGGACAAACGGCTCCTTTGACACTTATTGGACTGATTGTGCTGAACTGCAATGAGACCAAAGAGATTCCTGGACCTCACGGTTGCATAGTTTAATCAGAGACATTAACAATTGCAAACAGGTTGAAATGTCTTGCTGGGTTAGAGCTTTGTCCACCAATCACACGCTGCCACTGCGGGATGTTTCATGAAAATGGATAACGTATCATTTTTAAATCCTAACTGATATGTGTTGCAATTCAGCAACACATTGATAAAGAATATTTAATTTGTAGCAGATGATGTTAAAGTCTGTCACTGTATGGAAACCTTTAGGTCTTGTGGATAAGCGGAGGTCATACATTTGCTTAAATTGTCACATTTTACTTCATGCTACTTCTTGCTTTCATGTTTTTAGCTACACAGTAATATTAAATTACAAACTTTGCACTTTATATCTCCTGTTCAGAGACTTTTTTGAGTCGCTATGAACCAGTTCAGTTGACGTCTATGAGTATTTGCATTGAGGGGTAGCGTTAATGATCTACAGGGAACATGTGGATAACGTTTCATTGACCCATCAGACAAACAGCATACAGAGCTAAATAATGTATGCTCAAACATTTAAATGTCGTGTGATTGCCAGATAAAGGGTTTGAACGGCTTCACCATCTCATCGCAGATAATGATTCCGTCGATATCAATAGACTAGAGCAAACATGGCTCTGTTGGCACAACCAATCACTGATCGATTAAGCGGCCACCGCCAGTTACTCATTCGCAATCGCTGGTTTTGTTTGAATGAATCAATAGAAACGCTACAGCTACATCAATAATCAGTCATTTGAAAGCACTTCTTTTTTTATTGGCAGTGTCAGTCGGTTATTGGCACGTTGTAAATGTTTCAGCAGGAACCCCACAGCGCCTCACGTTGGGTAGAAACCAGAACGTCATCATTGGAAATAGCAGTTCTTATCTATCGTGCTGAATGTTAAGTGATCTCTGGCTGCTTAGTGTGTAAATAAGATACTGTTAAGGTTTAATGCCACTGCTGATGCTGGCATTAAAGCTGTATGATTCCCCCTCAGCAAGCTTTGATTACCAACCCTGTTTTGTCATTTAATCTCACAGCCGCCTCAGTGTTACCGACTATATTCTATATTCTTTTAGAGAAGAAAAAAAAAAGAAAAAGATGCATTATAATTTCCTGAATCTTAGATTGAAACATCAAAGCTTAGAGATTTTTAAAGTTCAAATTTGACAGTTGATGCTGCAATATCTGTGAAGTCTCTTTGGCTCATCAAATATTAAAGAGGTGGGCATTAAAAATGCACAAGGTTAACAACATTGTGTTATTTCTCTGATCCCGCTCTTGGTAATCATCTTTAAAAGGCTTGGACAAGGAGCTGCTCAGAGAACAAGACAGAGACAGACCTTCGTCAGCAGGTTTTAGTCATTCTGTTAAACCAGAAAAACTAACAGTGGAAAAGGAAAACAAGCAGGGAATCGTGCTATGGAGTATGGACACGTAGCTGATGACAATCGGTTTTAGTTGTCTACATAATGCGCTGAATCTTAAATGTAAGTGTGATATATAAAATAAAAAGGGATGCAGTGCTTAACTACTAATTGTCAACACTTCAACTAGATAAGGCCAGGAAAAAGTTTTAATACAAAAAATATGAAGGTTAGCTATGCTAGTGTGACTTTGACAACCTTAACAAGTAGATGTGCTGCAGAATTTGGTGTGTTTCGGTCCAGTCAATAAAAAAGCAACTCGCACACCAACTCTGACAGATTATGATAAAAACAATGTATCATTGTTTAAATTAGCTAATTAACCACTGCTGTGTTCAGATGATTTCTTATTAATAAACGCAAAATGAACATTTAGCCTCAAAACGAAATACTGAATGTTCTGTTATTTGTGTGGAAAATGTTGGAGTGTTTTTGATGCTAAGCATTGATACACTAGTTATGTATCTGCTGTGTTTTGGACATTTTAACTGTTTATTATTGTCCAGGCAGCACTTCCATCAGGCACTAGTTAGCTAAGTAAGCTAACATTTAGCTAGATGTGGCCTTCAGAAAGGTCCAGTTTTTCTGCCTAACTTGCAACCAGCTTGTCAGTTTCCATTTCCTACCTACCATGTGAGAGTGTGTGGGTTTGTGTGTGTGGGTACGCACTCATGTATCTACCACCTTGTCCGTTTCCATTTCCTATCCATCGTGTGTGTGTGTGTGTGTGCGCTGAACGGAGGACCTAAATACAGGAAGACTAAAAGGCATGAAGGATCCAAACCAAGTTAAATAAAAACAAAAAGAAAGCTACTAAAAGAGGCAAAAGAATAAGTTAAAACCACCAGAAGGAAAATGCAGCAGTAGGATATTGACTGACTGAATCATGAAGAACAGGGGAGAGAGATTAGTGAGATGAGTAACAGGTGGATCTAATTAACTAAATAGAAAAAGCTGATGTAGAGAAAGCTGAGGTCTGAGGGAATCTAAACAGGAACTGTTTTTCCATTGACTGTATAATTGTGTAAATTGGAATATACAAAAATAAATTCACTTCATGGAAACACAGCAATCATTAAAAAAACAACAAACAAACACGTAAACCCTAACCCTTGTGCGTGCGAGTACTGAAGCACACGTAGAGGACTATGGCAGTGATACAAGTTTTACGTGTGTGGGGTCGATTGGACCCCATTTCTATATACAAGGGTTAAGGTGAGGTGTTTTTTGGGGGCGTATCAAAATTAGTGTGTTCCGCAGAACCGCGACGGAAACACTTATTTTCGCATCACGCGAGTCGTGATCAACAATCGGACGTTACTGTTGGCAGAAAAGACGAAGACGACAACAGGAAGTGGTAGGAGGATGATTGTGTCATGTTATTTTTTAATTATTTAAAACGCGAACAAACGTATTCACGTGTGTGTTTGTTTTTTTCGACATTAGCTGAATATTGATAAGGTTTTGCTCACATTTGTAATGGAAACACAGCTATTGATCACATCCACAGAGTTGTGTGTGGGAGAGTCTCTTATCTTCCTTCATTGCTGGATGTGACCAACAAGTGCGGTTTCCCCATGCTGATGTCTTAGCATCCCTATCAGTCAACAGACGCACACTTTCTATAAAGGACGTTGTGTTCTAACGAGATAAACTGAGTCGCCGCATTTATCGTTCACTGGTCGTGAGGTTATATGTCTGACTGGTGAATGTGTTTGAAATCGTTCCTTTTTTCTCGCACTTTCAGCTGCATTTGCTGTCGTGACCGTCTCTCTTTGCTTCTCAGGTCAAGCTGCACTAATAATTATACATCTGCGGCTCCATGTACATTTAGACGTTTCATCTCATTACGTTTGCCCATAAGTTCCTGGCTCCCTCTACTATTTGTGCCTACCCTTTAACACAGTTTAACTCCCGTACTTTCTTGCTCTATATACCAGTTAAAGATGGGTGGAAGAAACCCATTTGAAGTGCAAATGCGCTCTCGCTTCTAATTTCTGTCTTATCTCGGCCATCTAAAAAGTACCTCTTCTTTCTCTTTTCTTCTTTTGTCCTCGCTCTCTATGTTCAACAAAGGTTGAGAGTAAAAACTCTAATGAAGACCTGGGAGATTTCCTTACTTATGCGTCACCATAAAGGTCTTCAGGCAAGAATTTAAAAAAAAGACAAAGTGACGTGAAAGAAATTCCAGCTCAGAATAAGCATCGTTAGTGTGATGATTAATCAACATGACAACCCTTCCTTTGCTGCAAACACATTCCATCCTATCACATGTGAAATAACAAGCAGAAGTATCCAGATTCAGGATATTATATTTTCTAAAGCGTTGATATGCTTATTACAACCTTCAGAAGCTGTAACTGTTTCACTCTCTTCAGGTCGAAGAGAGTTTTCCTGAACCTTCTGCACATTGTCATGATGTATAAAGATGATGTTGGGGGGAAAAAATGTATTTTAATCCACTAAAAGTGACAGAATATGTGTAAAAAATTAAAACCATGAAGTAAATTATTGCTATCATTTAACCACAAATTTAAATGAATTTTTGAGGGTTTTATGTGAACGTAATTGTAACTTGGTAGAAAAAGCGATATGTAGTTGTTTACATTTAGATTAAAGAATAAACAGCAGTCTCTTAATCGTTGACCATTTCGTTCTTTGCACATTTCACATGTAACAAAAAGTTATTTTCTGTTTTTCTTTTGGTGTAAACTAACTAACTTGACTCGGTAATTACACCGGGTCAGGATTGAGTGAAGGCAGCCGTTTCTGAGATGTTATCGTCCCCGTTTCTAATTAACAGGCCTTCAGACAGACAACAGCAGATTGAGTTCAGTTTCCTTTAGCTTGTTTTACTCAGACTGATAATCAGCAAACGCGTTCACTAAGATGACAGATCAATGACGCGTCTTTCTACCAAAACACCTCGGAGTTAGCTTTGCAAATCCTTCAGTGGGACCCCAGTGCTTCATTAATATAATTACTAAGAGCATTTCCAGAATATTCTCCATGAATTAATAACACACACTGTATTTTATTACACGTCTCAAATCCAAGCGTTTCATTCATTTTGACAATCAAATATTTTTATGAAATGTGAAGAACTGAATTGCAATCTTTCAAGTACTTTACTTCTAGCAAGAACAATATATAACACATTGTCAGTCAACCAAAAACCAATTAATAAAACTGATTTTCTGAAATGACAGAACGAGGTTTTCACCTCCCCTTTTACGTCACTATTAAAGCCAAAGGCAATTTCAGCTATTGAGGTGAAAGGTCAAGGCCGCACAATCAACACGAGGTGCAAGAGGAATGATTAGCAACAAACCAAACTGTTTCTGTTTTACGTTTGCTAAAATAAAAAACTTCATCACCATCCATGACATCAGAATGCTTAAACGTAAAAAAAAAAAAAATTATCTTTAGCATATAAATGAAATGAGATTGAACGTTTTCGTAACATCACTCCCAATGGAAATACAGTGAAATGCATTGGACCCGGAGTACAGCCCTGTGGTACACCCTATGGCAAAGAGGCCACAGAGGATAAATCGGACCCCCAGCTTCACGCTGAAACTCCTGGTGGAGAAAATACCCAATGATTCCCAGACATGATCCACAGAGTCAAACACAGCCGTCAGATCCAACAGAACAAACAAGATGTCATTCTCAACGCCTATAGGTGGCGACACGTTTATGCCTTGTGGATGATGGTGAAGATTAGTGACCAGGTATGATTGGAGTCGGGAATTTGATCTGTTGAACCACCTGCTCGTTTTATGGAGGAAGTGGTGATGAACAGTAGCTGCATCTTGAGCCTCGAACACCAGACACGAATGTCTCTGTAATTTATAGGAAAAACAGAGATGACCCAAGATGGTTCTGAATGATCAGTATTCATGTGTCAGTTTCCACCTGCATCATCTCAGAAAAAGAGAAAGAGTCCTCTCTCACTTCAACCTCTGGGATTCTTAGATTTGTGTCCAGAACACAAACAGTTGTTATCAAGCTGTAGCCGTTTGTCTTCACCTGAACTCTAAAGATTGAGAGCCTTAATCTTTGTATGTAGAAATGGGATCCAACCGACCCCACACACGTAAAAGTTGTATCATTTGCCATAGTCCTCTACGTTTGCCTCAGTCCTCGCACACACAAGGGTTAAGATACCCACAGCTTTAGCACTGCTCTGTGGGGATTCGTTTTGTTTTTTTATGCTCAGAATTTCCCGGATTTTTACTTCCGAGCACAACTGCTAACCACCTCTAATAGTCTGAGCAAGAAATGGCCCCACTAGATTGGCGATGGTTTTCTGGGCTCAGGCTGGAAGAAAAGAACAGTGATCCCTGCCTCTGGGGTCATTCTGAAAAGTGTGAGGGCAGACGTCAATGGAGGGACGTCAATGGAGGGAGTTCTTCCCTGGTACATACAACCTAAAATCTCACAAATTCGCAAATCTGTCAAAGTTACTTCTGGTAACTCGGTTTCAGACACTACTTTCACTTTACCAGAATCCAAGAACTCTTTTATCTCCTGAAACGAAAAACTATAAAACGACAGGAAAAGACACTGTGAGTGTAGAAATGTGTTTAGGCTTTCAGTAAGCATTAAAACATTGATGCTTGAATGTAGAAAGCTCAAGAAACTCATAAATCTAAATGAAAATGATTTTCAGATTAAACGCAGGTTTGCAGCCAAGCAATCTTGCATGTCAGCAGCTCTGTTTTCATTGGCCGTATGATTGCGTAATTTGACATTTAAAAAATAAAGTGGCTTAATGTAAACAGTGCAACTTTGAAAAATCTCGTTTTTCTGTAAAAAGTTTTGCCGCTAGGATGAGGTTGGTTTTTATTCCAGCCATACTGAATTTGGCTTATTTGGCAAAACTGTAATAGAAACACTTTTTCCCGCATCACACGTGTCACATGACCAACAACTGGATGTTGCCACTGACGGAAACCATGAAGAAGAAGACAGGAAGTAGATTAGAGGATGATGGCACAGCGTGCTTTTTAATGAATTATCGCGCAAACAAACATATTTCACGTTTGTTCTTCTATAATAGACATACTCCAATTGTGAAATCGTGTTTTTTTGAGATTATCGAAATATTGACTTAAAGTTTTGTGCACATTTGTAGCTGAAGCAGAGTTTGTGATTGGATCATTGCTGTACATTCATTATTATCCTTTTCATTCAGTTTATTTCAGATTTCCAGCTCTACGGCTGATCATTGTCCTGTGGACGACCAGCTTTAGCCAAGCTTCAGCTTTCTGGAGTCTCATCCAACACTCCAGGACTCGGTGGCAGTAGGTAACTCACTGGCTGCAGAGTGACCAGTTTGTCTGATGCATCAACAGGTTCTTCTTTGTGGTCACTGCTGAGGTCGTCCATCTTTGAAGCTGCTAAAATTCATACTATTGTAGAGGCAGAGAAACATGTTGATGATCAGTTTATAACTTTGAGGCACCTGGCTTTTTAATATCTTTCTCAATTCATGAGGGAGTTGTACTTAACATTTCCAATAGCTCAAAACTTTAGTTTTTTCTTACAAGTTTTATCTTCAGAGATGAATTTACCTCCGTTATGCCAAGGTAAAACCTAAGCCTTCATTACGTCTCCTGGCTTATTCTTGGTTTAGGATCTCTTGGTGTGATACTACCTGAAACAAACGATCCATAAATCTGAAGATTACTAAGAGATACTCAAGAAAACCTGTGCGATCACGTGAAAACGAATCAAAACAAGACTTTCCTTAAGCTCAGGAACAAAACAGAGATAGAAGACAGCACTTTTGTTCTCAGTTGACCAGAGTTTGACCAAATCTAATTGCTGTTCGCTCTCTCACAGACTTGGCCATAATGACTTTTAAAGAGATTTTCTAACAGCTACAGAAACACCATTAGTTCTCCATGCAATTTGAAGCATACACCCCCCTGATTGCTTGAGATAGAGCCATCTGAGAGATGGGCGGCTTGGCTCCTCTGTGATCGTCTGTCGAGCTTTAGTGCTGCCTCTCGCGTTCAGCTTCATCTCTGCGGGATTCTCTGTAGATTCAGGTTGCTTTTCTCTTCATGTTTTTTATTTCTTTCTGGCAGCCAGTGTGCCACAAAGCTGACTAATGGATTGATGGTTGTGTGGATAATGGTGACTTTGCACAAGTTTATGTCTCACTTAGCGTCCCTCGGTGTCCTGTGTGCAGGAATAAAGAAACAGAAGCTCTGGAAGAGTTTCTGAAACAAACATAAAAATAAACAGCTAGTTTATCTTGGAATATTCTGAGATGTGCTGGTTTTACTTGATCCGATATCCCTGAGAAGTCGTGCCATTTAAAATTTTTATTGCACAAACGGATGTGAGTTAGTTATCAATCCTGTAACACAAGAAGTGATCAACCGTGTTCATATTTTTCATTGAAAAGTAGCTGGAGCTCAGAATGTTTCATAGAGAGGATCTGTGAAAATGCATATTTACCTTCTACTACATATTCTCAAGTAGATTTAGGTCTGGACTTTGACTGGACCATTCTAAGACATTTATAACTTTGATGTAAATCTCTCAAACTCTTTGAGGGCTCTTTTAGATGTTTGGTGTCTTCTAAAAATGGTCCAACCAAGGACCGTGTTTGCAAATTATCCTGTGACTAGAAAAAAAATTGTTCAAAACAATGTTTTACCATGTGACATCGTTTACTGTACTTGGTGAAATAAACTTGAATTGAATGTGTGAATCAAATGGATGAATTATGGCTGGGTCTGACTGATCTGTTTGACTCTATAGCTGCGTTTCCATCACAAATATGCACCAAACTTTGTCAATATTCTGCTAATGTTGAAAAAAAAAATAATTTTACAATTTAGGTGTTTCCGTTAAAACAGAAATGCAATTAAAAACACTTAAATAAGTTTAGCACGATAAGTCATTAACAACTTGCCACGCCAGGATCCTCTGACTACTTCCTGTTGTTGTCTTCTTCGTGGTTTGCGCCAGCAGTAGCATCTGGTTGTTGATCTTGTGACTTGTGCGATTAAAAAAAAAAGTGTTTCCATTGCAGTATTGCAAAATAAACCAAATTTGGTGTGTTTCCATTGAGCAAATTTATTTTCAAACGTCAAATTGCTCAATTTTACGGTAATTGAAAATGCGGCTTGTGTTGCCCTGTGATGGACTGCTTCCATGTAGTACCCTGAGGCTGGAGGGGGTATGAATACTTTAGAGATTAGCTGTATGTTAAGCTTGTCTGGTTTCTCTTTTTTTTTTCTTTTTCTGCTCGGTATTTATCTCTGACAAAAAAAAAAAAAAGCCCTCGTTACCAAGAACAACATCCCCACTTGAGACGGAAATAACATGAAACGCGGTGGAAATTGGGAAGTAATTGCGCAGCTGGTCTCATGTTTTCAGACCAAACTAATCAGGCCATACCTCAGCAAGTGAGTACATTGCATGTTATTTTCAATAACAACAACAACAACAAAAAAAAGAAAAACGAAGAGGAGGAGGAGAAAGAGACATGGAAAGAGAGAGGGACCAGACTTTGTCAAGTGCTGATTGGTGAACGGGGTCCAGGTGTACTGGAGATGAGGGGAAGAGGGACCATCTGCTCACCCAGACAGCGCACGCCAAATACGACATGTTCATTATGATTCACAGGCACACAGGAATGCTTCCTGTGCTTCGGTTGGGCCTGGAGCGACGTACATCCATATGCAGTGAGCTGACCGTTGACTACTGCAGTTGGTGTGTGTGTGTGTGTGTGTGTGTGTGTGTGTGTGTGTGTGTGTGTGTGTGTGTGTGTGTGTGTGTGAGAGACATACTCTCATGGTATGTTTGTCCACACAGCTGACTGCATCTCTCCATGGCTGCCAGGGATGTGACTAATCCTTTCTTTCCTGTTCTGGTTGGCATCGTTTAAAATTACTTGCAGCGTTCCGAAACCTTCTTATTGTGTATTACGTAGTTTATTTATTTTTTCGAACTCAAATTTCCAGATTAAGATTGAGTCTGGTTAAGATTATTTGTAGGATTATTTCAGTAACAAGGCAGTTCAAAGTGCTTTACATGAATTAGAAGTAAATACAAACAAAAACACAAAAACAAAAATGTAAAAGTATAGGGCTACATATTGGTTCCCCATGTTTAATAAGAATAATAGTCTGTAATTTATAAACTAGTAGGGGTTTCTCTGAATTCTTAATCTGATAAAATGAGTATTTTCTCTAGATAAACTAATAGGAGTTTCTTTTTTATTCTAAGTTTGTAATAATTCCTGCTCTGGGTTTAGTGAAGAATATAAACTAAATGTTCAAGAGTAATCATTATAAAATATTTCAGTAAAAAGTACAATTAATCAGTGTATCAGTATTAACTAAAGGCTACTTTAATCAAATGGGTTTTTAATCTGGATTTAAATTCAAAAGCATCAAAAGAAAACCTGACTATGAATTTATGGCATCTATTCCTACTGTGGAAACATTTTAAATATGACGGCTGCAAAATGGAGGGAAATGAAGGATAGATACAATGTAAAAAGATATAAAATCTGCCTTTTTACGCCATATGTGTGATGAGTCTGTCCATATAATAGATGAATTTGACTTTCTGAGATGACTTTAAGCTCTATATATCATAATTTTTTTACTGATGTATCCAGGAAGTTGCTTCAGTCAAATTCCTCACTTTTTCAGACTCGTTGGGATCCAACTCTTCAGTAGAGCCGCGTTAATGCAGAAATGACAGAATGTCAAATTATTCTACCATCCGTGTGAAATCTGCCTGAAGGGTCCAGATGTAATGTTCACGTTTACATACGTGTGACAAAGAAATCGTTTTCTTTAATGATTTTCCGAGAGAGATTTAAAATCTGCTCACAGCTCAAAAATTAACGTGCGTAACTCAGGAAAAGACACAGCTGAGCGATATTGTAATATGAACCTGCTGGAAAAAAAGGATTATTCTTGATGAACAGCTGTAATATTGTCACATGTGGAGATTATTATGGTTTAACTGAAACATCTCGTCTGTATTCTGATGTTACCTTTAACCTGCCACCAGATCGTATGCAGTTTCCTCTAATATAGTTTCTATCAGCTTATCTTTATTGTATTTTGGCAAATAGACTCTGCTCTGTGCTTCAAATTTCATTACACCAAACTGTTTTCATCTGAAAGCTTACAGGAATGCGTCTCCTGACCACGTCTCATCTCTTTGGTCCTTCACAGTGAATACGATATAAACAACATGCTAGGTACTTTTTAAGCCTCAAGGACACTTTTGAAAAGCACAGCTGCAAGTCTTGTAATTATTTTTTTTAATAAGGGATTAAAATCCCCTGCAGAAGATAAAGCTTTTACAATTAAAGCTAATTGATTTTAAAATTTATCTTGTAATTTTAAGGAAGTCATTTGTTACCAGCCAAGTTTATATGATGGCATCATACATGTTTAATTGGTGCTAAATAACAGCAATTATCCAGATTTGTTTTTGAGGATGACTATTAATAAAAAGTCTGATCTGGTCATGCGATTCTTTTTTATAATGGTCCACATAACTGTGTGAATTAGGAAAAAATAATGCTTCTTTTCGTACCAGATATTACAAAGGATATAGAAATGATCAGAATCTGTGTCCATCATTCAACTCTAGTACTGGAACCACAGCTTCAATTTGTGGAACCATTAAAAACAAAAACACTTGTCATAGTTTTCAATCGCAGTATTTTTTTTTCTGCCCTTCATTTACAATAGCTCTGAGTGAAAACAGATTGGGTCACAGCGCCCCCTGTCTGTCGTGTCTGAGCCTGTCTGCACGCCGGCTCAGAAAGCAGCTGAAACGTTGCCTTTACATGTTAAGACATTCAGAGTAAAGTTGCTGAGTTTGTGAAGCAGCAGAGCAACTTCTTCTGTAAGTTATAGCTGCACATAACAAAGCTAACTATCAACTATCACTGATGAAATCTAGTTTGTGTTTTCGCGCAGCATTGATTTCTAGAGAAGTATCTGGGACGCAGTGTGGAATAGTCTTTATTTAATCGGGTCGGCATCAGGTGGAAAAATCTGGATTACATAATACATGTTTTTCTTCTTGTATTTTCTCTTACAGCAGAAGGAAGATGTAACAATAACAAGATTTAACACGCAGTATGTTCAGATTTTATCACTGACACCAAATGCACAACTCACGGCTTGAAGCAAATTGCTCATAGTTCTACTCAGTTTTTTTTCCCTCCTTCTTGAGCTAATATCTCTCTTGAGCTTTTTAATCTGTCAGTCATTGCTCACCTCCATGCTGTGTAGCTCATACTCACCCTGCC